TCTGATTTCTCAAATGTATTGCTACATATCACAATATTCTGAGGTGCATAGGATCTACAATGATAGCCACTTCTCATTCCTTATGTTGGTAGTATCTGCATTTCCTGATCAGTCTGACTAGACATTTATTAATCAGAACAAGATTTTGGTTTCATTATTTTGTTTTTCTTAATGTCTGCTGCTTTATTTTGCATTGATTTCTGCCCTTTTGGTTTTCTTTTCTTTTTCCATTTACTATGTACATCACCTGCTTTTCATTTTTTCAGTTTCTTATGTCAAACAGCCACAGCTTTTTTCTAGACAAGAAATCATATGTTAGGCTTAGCAGGCCAAACAATCTCTGTGTCACTGTAGAATCCCTTGCTTTGAATTCTAGTTTATCTGGTACTACAATTGTCACCTAAAAATCCTTTACCAAATATCTTTTACAGATCATAAAATTCACCCATTTTAAGTGTACATTGTTAATGTAACATAATAGTACAATGACTACTATTATTCAGCCTTATAATTTTTTCTTCCTCCCAAAATATCCCTCATGCCCACTTATAGGTAATATTAATTTCTTCCCCCAATCTCAGGAAACCACTAATCTTCTGTCTCTACTAATTCCCCTTTTCACAAATAGAATCAGACAACAAATATGTGCTAACTGTGCCTGGCTTCTTTCCCTCAGCTAATGATTTTGATATATGTCCATGACGTATCATGATGTTATGTTATGTGTTCCTTTTTATTTATTTTTTGCGTGTTCCTTTTTATTGTTGAATAGAATCCAAGGTTTTTTGCTTTACATTCCCATACAAATGTTTTCTTTTTATTATTACTAATAAATCATTTATTGGGGGCTCTTACAGATCTTAAATATTCCATATATCAATTGTATCAAACACATTTGTACATATGCTACCATCATAATTTTCAAAACATTTTCTTTCTGCTTGAGCCCTTGGTATTAACTCCTCTTTCTTTCCCTCCCTCCCACCCTCATGGACCCCTGATATATTATTATTTTCCTATCTTACACCATCCTCTGTCTCCCTTCGCCCATGTTTTGTTGTTTGTCCCCCTGGGGTGGGGTGGGGTGGGGGCTGTTATACATGGATCATTGGAGTCGGTTCCCCGCTTCTCCCTCTTCTCCCCCCACCTGCCCCCTACGCTCATGGTATAGATACTCCCATTACTGTTTCTGAGGGGTTTAGCTGTCCTGGATTCCATGTGTCCAGAGCTCTTACTTATACCAGTGTACAAGCGCTGGTCTAGCCAGATTTGTAAGGTAGAATTGGGGTCATTATGGGGGGACGGGGGAGAAGCATTAAAGAACTAGAGGAATGTTCTAGAGCAGTGGTTCTCAAACTGGGGGTTGAATGACCCTTTTAAGGGGTCACCCGATTCATAATAATAGTAGCAAAATTACAGTTATAAAGTAGCAATGAAAATAATTTTATGGTTGGGGGGGTCACCACAATATGAGGAATTGTATTAAAGGATTGTGGCATTAGGAAGGTTGAGAACCACTGTTCTAGAGGAATGTTTTGTGTTCTGTCAGTGCTATGCTGCACCCTGGCTGACTCATTCCTTCCTTGTGACCCTTCTGTGAGGGAATGTCCAATTGTCTACCGAGGGGCTTTGGGTCTCCTCTCAGACCTCCATCATGTGCATCAATATATTTGTTTATTTGGGGTCTTCTGATGCCTGATAACTGATCCTGACGACCCCTCATGATCAAGCAGGCTGGTGTGCTTATTCCATGTGGGCTTGTTGCCTCTCTGCTACATGGTTGGCCGCTTGTTTAACTTCCAGCCTTTAAGACCCCAGTTCCTCTATCTTTTAGTAGTCGGGCACCATCAGCTTTCTTCACCACATTTGCTTATGCACCCATTTTGACTTCGGCAATTGTGTTGGGAAGGTGAGCATCACGGAATGCCAGGTTAGTAGAACAAAGTGTTCTTGTGTTGAGGGAGGCCTTGAGTAGAGACCCAATGCCCATCAGCTTCCTTGATACTTAACATTTAAATATTTTTACATAGATCTATATCCCTACTAATATATTTATATATTTACATATGTGCCTGCCTGTATTTGTACCTTTAAATGCTTTTTGCCTTCGAATTATTTCCTCTATTTCTTTTTACTTTCCTCCTGCCCCACTATCATGTCCGACCTTCATTCAACTCTCCTTCCTTTCAGCTACATTGCCCTTGATTAGACCCTACCAGGCATCCTACAGCCTCCTCTTCATCGAGTTTAGATCTTTCATTGTTCCCTTGTCCCTGGGTTTGCTGGTTCACCTTCCCTTTCTTCTACCTCCTCTCCCATGTCCACCTGGAGCCACCAGCCCCGTTCTTTTCTCCTTGGGATTGGTTATCCTGTATATCTTATATGGATAGACATGAGAAAAAAGAAAAGAAAAGAAAGGCCTATAAATAGTTCCAGGCCGGGAACTAGTGGAGAGGTTTGAGAGGCCGACCCCAATCCCAACAATGAGGGCACCCACCCCTCCCCCCAGAAGAATTTATTTCAGAGGACGGCACTGAATCTGCAGCTCCAGGAGAGGGACACGTTTGTTGGGAGCACAGGGAGCAGATGAAGGGGGAGGAGGAGAGACTTTGGACTTGAGGACTATGTTCCCGCTCAGAACAGCCAGTCCACAGAGAGGACCACATGGCCGGCCCCACTATGAGACATGACGTCCCTCACTTACCCATGGCCCTATAGGGGACACACTGGAGACAGTGTGGGAATTGCACCCAATCTGATTCCGCCATACTGAGGCAAAACGCAGGGGGTGCAACAGAACAGCAAGGGAATGGAGCGGCGGCGAGGTCCCCAGGGAATGCCAAAGGTGGACTTTGGGGCCAGGGCATGGTGCCCCAACAGATTGGACTGGAAAACACTCCTAAAGGCCAACAAACAGTCCTTGAACTCACTACAAGCTTTTCTTGTTGTGTTTTGTTTGTTTGTTTTTGTCATTGGTTTGTTGTTTTGTTGTATATTGTTGCTTGGTTTTGCTCTGTCTTGTTTTTGTGCGTGTTATAATCTCCGCAGGTCTGTCTAAATAAGATAGGCTGGATGAACAATCTGGAGGAGAAAACAACAGGACCGATAGTTCTGGGGGTACATGGGAGAGGGGGAGTTGGGGGAAAAGGTAGTGGTGTTAGCAAACCCAGGGACAAGGGAACAACAAGTGATCTAAATCGGTGGTGAGAAGGGTGTAGGAGGCCTGGTAGGGATTGATCAGGGGTAATGTAACCAAGAGGCATTATTGAAACCCAAATGAATACTGAGCATGATAGTGGGACAAGAGGAAAGCAAAAGGAAATAGAGGAAAGAGCTAGGAGGCAAAGGGCATTTATAGAGGTCTAAATAAAGGCATGTACATATGTAAATATATTTATATATGAGGATTGGGAAATAGATCTATGTGCATACATTTATAGGTTTAGTGTTAAGGTAGCAAATGGACATTGGGCCTCCACTCAGTACTCTCTCAATGCAAGAATACTTTGTTCTATTAAACTGGCATTCCATGATGCTCACCTTCCTGACACAACTGCTGAAGACAAAAGCGGGTGAATAAGTAAATGTGAAGAAAGCTGATGGTGGCCAGTAGCGTCTGGGGTCTTAAAGGCTTGAAGGTAAACAAGCGTCCATCTAGCTCAGAAGCAACAAAGCCCACATGGAAGCAGCACACCAGCCTGTGTGATCATGAGGTGTTGGAGGCCTCAGGCATCAGGCATCATCAGAACAAAAAATCATCGTGAATGAGGGGGGAAGGGCGGAGTGGAGACCCACAGCCCATCTGTAGGCCACTGGACATCACCTTACAGAAGGGTCTCGGGGAGGAGACGAGCTAGTCAGGGTGCGATATAGCAACTTTCCTCTAGTTCCTAAATGCCCGCTCCCCCCCCTCCCCAATATCATGATCCCAATGCTACCTTACAAATCTGGCTAGACCAGAGGATGTACACTGGTACAAATAGGTACTGGAAACACAGGGAATCCAGGGCGGTTGATCCCTTCAGGACCAGTGCTGAGAGTAGTGATACTGGGAGGGTGGAGGGAGCGTGGGTTGGAAAGGGGGAACCTATTACAAGGATCTACATATAACCTCCGTGGGGGACGGACAACAGAAAAGTGGGTGAAAGGAGACGTCGGACAGGGAAGACATGACAAAATAATAATTTATAAGTTATCAAGGGTTCAAGAGGAAGGGGGAGTGGGGAGGAAGGTGAAAATGAGGTGATGCCAGGGGCTTAGGTGGAGAGCAAATGTTTTGAGAATGATGAGAGCAATGGATGTACAAATGTGCTTTCCACAATTGATGTGTGTATGGATTGTGATAAGAGTTGTATGAGCCCCTAATACAAAGATTAAAAACAAAACAAAAGAAATAGTTCCAGGTCTGTCTGCTGACCCTTCTGAATGTTTTCCAATCGGATTTGGTGAAGTGCCATGCCCTGACCACTGATTCTGAAGTCTATTTTTGGGATTCTTTGGGGACTTCATTGCTTTGCTCCCCTTGCTGCTCTGTTGCACGCCCTTCGTGTTTCACGTCAGTGTGCAGGGGTCAGACCAGGGCACAGTACCCACACCGTGTCTCCAGTGCTTTCCCCCTTAACACTTTGGGTCAGTGAGGAGGTGTCGTGTCTCATCATGGGGCCAGCCCCACTGTCCTCTCTGGGCATTGGCTGTTCCAAGCAGGAATGTCCTCAAGACTTGGCTCTTAGTTGGCTCCCTTGTGGTCTGGGCAGACCTGCCATTCTCCTCGGGCTGTATCTTCAGTGCTGCCCCCTGTAGTTCATTCTTCTGGGGAAGGAGGTCAATGTCACTGCGACTGGGGCCAGCTCTCATCCAGATGTTTTCAGTAAACATGGATGTTTTCATTTCTATTGAGTATATGTCTAAGATTGGAATTGCAAAGTTGTGTGGTAATTTTGATTTGGGGTAATGTTTTAAAAGAAGGTATGTAAAATGATTGGTTGGTTTTCTGATTTCAGGCGGTTATGGAAAAATGTGACCGAATCCCTGAGGGAATCTGAAATTGACAAGGCTACGGAGCATAAACGGACCCTGGAAGAACGCCAGAGGACTGAGGAAAGGCATCGGACTGAAACAGGCACCCCTTGGAAAACTAAATATTTTATTAAAGAGGCAAGTTCTATGTCTTCATGCTGAAACCCCTCACGTACCAGAGAGAACGTGGGCCTAGTAGCTGTCACTCCTAAATCTTTCTTCTAGCTTTTCAGTCCTAATGATAGAACGTACAATTTAGCTTTTACTGCCTTTCGTACTGCATCTGAAATTCTGTGTTCATTTTTGGAGCGCACATTTTAACAGAGGCATGAGAAAGTTAATTGCTTGCATGCACAAAAGATGGTGGAGTGACTGGAATCTGCATCATTTAAGGGAAAATAATGAAGTGGGCCATATTTAGCCTAGAATATGGAAAATTGGGGCCTTTCAATATAACTTTTTAAAATACACTGGTTTTCTCATGTAGAAACAGAGTCCTGATGGCAATTTGGTTAAGCTCTTAGCTGCTAACCAAAAGGTCGGTAGTGGACCCCAACAGACAATCATAGAGAAAGATGAGGCAGTGACATCCTGTAGGGGTTGCTATGAGTTGTAGTTGACTCTGTGGCACTGGACATCATAAAGAACTTTTTTTTTTTTTTTTCTGTTTGTATAGTAGGCTAGAGCTAGCCAGAACTACCAGGAAGCAAATATGGGGCTTATGAAACGGAACTGTGTCTAAGAACCAAAAGCATCCTATAGAAAAAAGAAACTACATCTTATAATACTTTATTCCAATTGCTAAAACTATGTAAGCAAAATATTTTTTTAAAAAAACTATAAGCGGAGAGCATGATTTTTTAAAGTTTTATGTACTGATTTTTTCATAGACTTTTGAAGTCTTCTCTAAATTTGAAGATGTAAAATTGTTGCTATTCATTACTTCCTGATAGAACTCAGAATAAGGTGAATAGGAATTGGGGGTATAGGGGACACTCCATCCCTGACTGTGAAAATAGCAGCGAGGACTTATAGAGTATGCATGTCTTTTGGACACGATTGCTGAAGACTAAAGGGTGCATGAGTTGTTAGGTCAGCAGGACCCAGTATAGGTAACCCTGGAAGAAAGGGGGACTGGACTGCTGGTGTATAACATGCCCTGCTCTCTATTTAACATGGAGGTATTCATCTGCTCTGCCATGGTCCCTGTTAGACCTGTGACTATCTGTATGTTTGTTTTGTGTGTGTGTGTGTGTTTTATCTGTACAAGATATGCATGACAGGTTGGGGGACGGGATGAGTTGATGCTAAGGGCTTGTATTAGTCTAGGTACTTTGGAGAAACAAATCCACAGCGACTCATGTATAAGAGAGAGTGTTATGTAAAGAAAAGGTGCATCACGAAAACATCCCAACCCAATGCTGCCCAAGC